TGGCCCGAGAGAAGGTGGCGTTTTGAGGTGGGACAGAAGAAAGAGTTTGTCTTAAAGGTTTAATAACAAGATTCCCTTCCCAACCAACTTTAAGTAACCAGAAACTATTGGGAAAAAGGGGCACTAACAACAACAACAACAAAAAAAAAGGTTAAGGAATGGTTCATTTTTGAGTGGAGACATCCCGTCTCAGGGGTTTGTGCTGGCTGTAGGCGAGACACAGCACCTGACTGAACATTTGAATGTGCCTGACATATTCCAAAGCTCCATTCTCATTCAACCCTTATGAAAGAAGTCCTTCCTGCAGACTGGTGTAATCTGCCATTTCAAGGGAGGGAGAGCACACACTCAAAACAAGAGCTACATAATCAGGCCACAAGGAACGAAAAAAAAAAATATTAAAGATAAAATTATTTTTCCATTCACCCCAACACTTAAACCCCAGGCACTCGTCTTTTTTTTCCATATTATTTTCCTCTTTTTGCTTTAAGGCGGTCTACAAAGACAGTTGTGAAAGGTCCAAGCATGACACTTGTGAGCTTTAGTTAGTTATGAAAGAGTGTCCTTGAGAAGAGTGGTAATTTGTGAGGGGGGCTGGGTGCAGATCTCTCCCATAACCGTGCCACCGGCTCCACTACACTTGACTGCAGCTGTGGCACCTGGCACAACGGTCTCATACCTCTCACGATTAGCATTTCACTAATCCACTTCCTACTCTGCGTGTTTGGCACAGTCACACCAAGAACATAGCAGGGGCTCTGCAAGACGAGGCCCGGAAAACAGAAGAGCCTTGAGGCCAGGAGAGTTTTAGCTTGTTCTGGTTAAAAAGAGTATTCAGAAAGAGAAAGATCCCTTAATTCACTGCATCGGTTTCAGAGCGGAGGTGATACAAGGAGGGAAGTCTACGGCTTCTAGGGTGCCAAAGAAATGGCGAGAGGTAGAGGGAGTGCTAGCATCTCATCCTCTCTGCCCAAGACTGCTGCATGCAGTGGAAAGGGGGATGGGGTCTGGCTCAGTGTGCTTTAGTCATCGGAGATGGAAAGCCTGCTGAAGATGGGCAGTCGGCGGGTGGTGTCAAGGACGGGAGACTCTGAGCCGCTCAGACTTCCGCTCGAGCTGCTCTGGTAGCCCTCTTGGTCAGAAAGTGAGTCTGGCTGACTGGATGGAGACTCGTAGAGTTGGGGAGACTCTGACATGGCCCTGAAGTAGTAAGGGGCTGTCGGGGAAGATGGTGTCTGGGTGCAAAGGTCAGAGCAGGATAAAGGTGCGTTGCCCAGGCTGGGGCTGAAGAGGTTGGCCAGCTCCTGGCTGGAATACGTAAAGGGGTTGCTGCTAGGCCACTCGGGCTGATCGTCTGGGGAAAATATAGGTGGAGGAGTGACGGAGGTGGGGCTGTCCCTCAAGCCTCCAGAGCTGGGGAACCCGGCAAAGCTGTAGCTGTGTTGCAGCCGCGGCCTCTCCATCTTATTGGAGGCCGAAAGGGGGGATGGGGTTGGTGGAGGTCCACGGCGCTCTTCCGCATTGTGGATGAAGTGGCAGCGTGGGCCGTAGGGGCAGAAGCCGATGGTGTGGAATGTGCGGCACAGCTCTGTCTTGTACTTAGGATGGCGGCTTAGGCTGCGCAACTCATGAATGCCATGGGCAAACTGGCACTTGTCACCATACTTGCAGGCGCCATTCTCCTCGAATGGCCTGCATAACTCTGTCTTGTAGCGGCTCGAGTTGACCTGGCTGTTGGGGCCTCCAGGGCCCGAACACTTCTGTAGCAGGCGATCCCCCGTTTCCGAGAAAGAGCGGTCTCGAAGTCGGTTCTCTTTGTTGCTGCTGCCGGTGGTTCCCATCCCTGAGCCGAGCAGGGATGGATCTGCCTTAACAATGTTCAAGAACTGGTTTTGGTTGAGTTTGGTGCTAGCCGAAGTGACAGAGTGCCGGCACTGATAAACCCCAATAGTTGAGGGTGTCCCCACAGCCTTCCTGTCCAGCAGGCACCCAGTGGGGTTGGAGATGGACAGACTTGCCCCCGTGCAAGGGACAGAGACAGGGTGTGGAGTACTGAGGATGTTATTATTGTAGTTCAGCATTTTGTTCTACAAAAGAAAAGACAAAAAAAGAACAATGACGACATAGAATTCAGTTGTTGAAAGCCACAAAGTGGTTGGCATGTCTTAACTGTTTTGCACTGGCTTCATGTTAAACCAATGAGTAAATACAGGCCTAAACAACTGTCAGTCTGGCTTGATGCCCACTAATGGAACGCTTGACTGCTTTAGAAAAGCAAAGACTGCTGCGCGTGTCTGATCTGAGTAATAACCTAACTCCTACTGTATCAGACGTGAGACTAGGTCCGCCTGCAAACCTGTGGACATTGATGACCACGTCTGACAACATTAACAGGTTCAGAATCAGCATTATCAAACTAGATCATGCTGCTTAAACTTTTTCATGAGGAAATATATCTCTGTACTACACAGAATAAAGTAATATAACTAAAAACAGACATAATTGATTCTTAAACAGCTGGATGACGATAAACACTCAAATCTAAATGTTAATCCACACAGCACAGAAAAACACATTAACTCCACTGACAAATGATGTCTGACAACAGTTATGGGTTATGACTCATATGTCTAAGAACCAGCTTGACTTACTGGTTTTCTAAGTCACTCCTCTCAGTCAGTTTAATTCAATGAAATCACGGGACAGCCCTGACAGATTCATATACCATTCAAGTTTACACCCAGACAGGTCAATAAAAAAATTTAAAAAAAGTATATATATATATATACATATTTATTTCATTGAGCAGGTGGTGAAACCAGTTGCTCCAATCTTCAGTTCATAAAGTTCAAAAGGAAGCAACGTGACACATACATGGGTAGTTGATATGAAATACTTGTATGCATGTAGTCTCTTAATTAAAATGAAGTTAGCTTATTGAAAATGTGTACTTTAATTCGTTTAAATCACACTACATTCTTTTGAATGAAGGATTGGAGAGTGATTAAGATTGTGATTAAATTCAAATTAATTGCAAGCAGCCAGAGGATCCAAGATATACACTTTCACTTAAACATTCATATAACTTTTAACTTAAAATCTTGATTAAAAATGTCCATGAACACATTATGCATCAACTACCTACATACGTTGTGAAATCACAGCCATGGATTCTCCAGAACAAGCCAAGAAGGGAACGTTACTGGCTGCAAGCGTCTAGTACTACTTTATTGCTACATTAGAACTTTAAAGATGACTCGAGAGTGGTAAAAGCAGTTGTAATTTAGTTATTGTTGTTTGGTGTTACTTAATACAGCTAAAAATCGCCCATTCAAACTTAGAAGGAAAGTGTAATCGTCCACATTCCACAACACAAACAGATCAAGCTAAAACTTTTTTCCTTACCTTGTAGATCACTTCGTTAAAGTCGAAGAAAGGCGACACCACGGCTGTGGTCATCTTCCGATCGAGGATAAATCAAACACAGCGAGAAGAATCGGATACTTTAAATTGTAACAAGCTAGGTTCTAGTTGTGTAAACTTGTGCTGCCCTATAAGAAACCCCCTCGGTCTGCATTTCCTTTTAACCCAAATGCAGGAGGGGCCACGAGACGTCGCTTCATATGGGCGTTTCTCTCTTGCTCTTTTTTTTTTTCAAGTTTTGAAGTTTTTACTTCTCTCTCGCTCAGAAATGCAACGCAGTTTTAAAAGTTTACTAGAGCTTTCGTGCACGCTCATAAGCAAATCAGCGACCTTGTGTTCAGCTGTTTGTTTCGGAGACTGAAACCATATTGTTAGACGTTTTATTTATATTTTGTAACTGTAATAAAAACGCTCTGTAACTCAGTGTTTCTTTTTTTTTTTTTTTTACTTGTTATAGCCTAATATGCAAATATTTGCTGCGAATTATTTCGGATATCAACAACTTGTCACTTAAATGAAATGTAAAACGAATGTTGTACTTCACTGTGCGAATTGAATTGTTCATTAATTTTATGTAATTCCCTTTACCAACACCCTTATTTCATTGTAAGTGTTTTAATTTTTGTTGTTTCATCTGAAGTACATTGGATAGTGTTGGAAGGTGTTTATTTTTCTCTAAATTTTACAGATCCACAGATCCTCACAGCTTATTTTGTTACATCAGGAGGGTGCTGGTATGTTATTTCTACACTAGTTCTAAAATGTATACATCTGTAGTCTTTATATTAAATGAAATAGTGATAAAGAGATTCTACAACTTCAAATGCACACTACTCAGGACCCAACAATCCATGACAGGGCAAGAACTGCTCTCTCTCTCGTCTACACTGAGTCATTCTGTATTTGTGCTACAGCTGAGGAAGAACAGCACCACTTAGCACAAAAGTTTTTCAGAAATGTTGGAGGAGGGGGCAGATTTACTGGGGATATTTGCTACAAATTGCCTTGGGCTGTGTGGGGCGGAGGCGAGCAGGGAGGAGAGGACGGGGTCATAACATCCCCCTCCTCTCCACCTCCTCCCAGCCAGAGGTGGAAGTTTTTATAAAGGCCTTTTTTCCCTCCACACTTTAATAGTGTTTTTAACATGATGACTGTAGGTGAGATGTGAGGAACTTGCATACTTATACTCTATGCTGAGATTATTAATTCAGTTTAAGAATTATGAGTATGATAAAAACATGCAAGGAGGAGTTTAACAAGTTCCGTGGTACAGAGCAATCTACCCCCAGGGTGTAAGAGAGACAAAACTGAAAGTTGACAGAGCAGTAGATTACATTTCAAAGTGTTTCCAACTCTCAATACTTTGAAGATATGGATTATAGTCACGATAAGAGAAATTATTTTCACGTATACAAAGCCAAGAGTACATTTCATCTCAAGTTATTATGTTATAACCGATTATTCAAACTTATTTGTTTGTCACAGATCATGCAAATTAATTGTAATGGCTGTGTGTGTTCAGAGTGTTTGCGCAGGGTGGCCTGTAGAGGGAGCCCTTCATTTCAATCCGTGTTTCAGGCTCCACTACATTTCTTTCCTTGGCTCTCCTGTTGTTTGGTGAACAGTGAGAGGGAGCAGGAGAGAGTTTGAGATGGTAGTAAGAGGTAAGGAATGAATTATCTCTTACAGGATTACTTTGCAGTCTAATCTCTAAGTATGTAGGGGGAACTTGTGAGATTCCAAGAGTCAGTTATGTGCTGTGGAAACCGCCCTGCTGGTACAACTGAGCTGATATCTGGACAGTCAGTTATAGTTTTTTTATTTTGCTGACAGACTTATTATCCCTCAGATGAATATATTTTTCTTTCATTCGAGATCTGTTTACTTGCCTTTTACTGTAGCTCAAAATTTAAGATTCTGGTGTCCCTCCTTCTTTCTTTTTTTGCACTCAAGGCGAGTGTTTTAAAGGCTAAGCACAATTGAAATGAGGAAAAAAGTAATTGTCCATAAAAGCTTGGCCACAGAATCGTAAGTGGCGCACCACTAGATCTCTCTAGTCATGTTGTTCCCATGCAACTCCTCTACAAAGTAGCTGTTGCCCCCTCTCCTTTTTATACAGGGCTCCAGCTGTGCAATGAGATTCTTCAAGGGTCAAGACTGACGATTAGGGATGAAAGTGACGCTGAAAAGATGCCTGCTTTTTAACTCGAAAATATAAACAAGTGAAGTTTATGGCTTTCTCTTTGACCCCTACAATATGGGAATAGCAAAAGATCATGACATTAGCTTTTAGCTGTTATGCTGTTGTTTACCCCTCCTTTCCTCTCTTTTTGTAGAGTTAGAGCAAAGAACTGAAGAAGCTGGAAACAGGATACTGGCACAAAGATAAATGTACCGTAGTTGGGAAGAGGAGTTGTTGGGGAAGACAAGGTTTGAAAACTGGAAATAGTGAAGTGATGAAAATATGATTATTGAAATAGAATTTCCAATCTTGAGTTTAGCATGTGAAATGTCAGGGGTCATTTTCCTCTCTGACCAGGTTTCCTGTCCTGTTGATCATGAGGAAGGGTGGACTCCCCAATCTTTCAGAGTCATTCTTACTGAGCAGGGTCAGTAGGAAAAGCATCATCACTGTAAAAATCATAATTTAACTGACCCTGTGCCCGGAAGTAACATTATTGATTATTGAAGATTATTTTTTAGACTCAATGATGGGAATAAATTCTCAAATGTACTCTTTTACAATAAAGGCAGAAAATAGTAAAGCACTTTTTTCTTTCAGATGCACGATAGACAGTCTAATAAATTTGTTAAACACTGTATGTCCTTAAAAAGGGTTGTGATCGGATTCCCCAGTCGAGGTGTTCTGTAGACCTGACCCCCGAACAGGTGTCATGGTCATGCTGAGGACAGTGCTGAAATGAGATATTAGCGAGCCTTTCACTCAACGTGGTCAAAATCAATGATCTTTGTAAGCAGCGGCCAGCACAGGAACAGTGGAGGCCATTCTCTGTGTGAGAACTGCCCTCCGTCCATCTGTCTCCATTCTGGATCCGACCCCCTCTGCACAGAACCTCTCCTGTGTGGTCACAACTGGACTAGAGTTACACGGCCCATGTGTCCAGTGCAGGGCCAGACAACAAACAAGGCCGAAAGTGAAGCCACTCTTCCCTATCACACACAAGAAATTGCTCCACACAGGAAAAGTACTGTTTTTGCTTCAACATACATTCTTGAGCAAAATCTTGGACACAAATGGGAAGCAAGCTGGAAAGAAAATGCTTTTTTTTTTTTTTTTTACTTGTTTAGTTTGTGTTATATATGCATTGTTTCGTGTTCTGGTTTCTCTGAAACACAGCATGTGGTTTAAGTTACTGTTTTGTGTAATGTGTAATAAAGTTAAATACATTTTCGAATTGTTTGTTCCAGTGTAATGCAATCACCGTAAGAAATGCATGATCATAAACAGCAGACAAACCTAGATTATTAATTTTTTAGGCTGTGGTTAGGGGGTTGCTAGGGTGTTTTGATTAGTTACTAGTTGGTTGCTTACTAGCCAAAATAGCAGAAGCCAATAGTCTGTGATATTTTGTGTCTAGATATGGCTTGGATATGGCTAAGTTTTTATTTATTTATTTATGTTTGTTTGTAATATCTGATATTTATACTAATTCAAAATTAAAATATATATTTTTATAATATTTTTTTTTGTAATATATATAGTCGTAAGCCAGTTATTCTTAGTGTGACAACGTTGATACTATTTTTGATTTTTTAATGTTGATTTTTTTTTCACCATAGCTACTCAAATTGAGAAGAGGTTTTAATTAATTGATAAATTAAATAAAGTGTTTTATATATTGTTTTTTGTGGTTTTAAAAACTTCCCCCATGAAGATGAAAATGTCTCTTGAAAATCACATCGAGCACTGCCTTCAAGGTTACTCTATAGGATTTTTCATTCACTTCTGTTATTGTCCAACAGACAAAAAGCTTTAGAAAAGTAATAGTTTTCCACTCCTCCACAAGATGTGAGGTGTATCTCTCCTCTCACAGATGTGAGGTGTCATTAATGTTTATGGCACAAATGGGCATCAAAGTTTAAAACTTAGAAAACATGAATCCCAAACCTTATCCCTAACTTAATTTGCATAGAAATTAGGCTGATTATTTCTATGTGATAATCTAAATCGTTGATGATTCATGCACATGGTAGAAATAACCCTGAGGAAAAACATGTCTTATGATTACATTGTAGATTATGTCATTGCATGTTGTCATTGTGCAGAGGGAACAGAGCATTTACACAGAGGAAGCAAGGGTGAGAACAACTGAATTAGCTCTAGTGGTCATATAGAGTAGGTTTGTCTTTTTTAATATAAGTAGTTTTGACATTTAGAGACTATATTTGGTCAAATGTAGTTATTTATCTCCTTTAGGATCATGACAAAAATGTGAAGTGTGCGCTAAACTGGAGCTGAGATGCACTGTGTGACGTTATGTTTGTACGAGCAGCAGATTGCCGCTTTGCCCGGCCTGAACGTGTCTTCCCAAAACTGCTCTCTGCTCTAATTACTGTTATCCACAACCTACTCAAGAGTTCAGCACCTAAACCTGTACTTGTGCTCCAAACTTGCACATTTGTATCAATTATGTTCACTTGAGAGGGTATATTTGAGGCTGTGCTCTTATGCGGCATCTCACAATCCACTCATGGACATGTAGGGATAATTGACGCTTTCAGACAGTGGTAAAACAGTGTGGTCAACAAAGTTGCATGCAGCTCTTCATTTTGCTCCTCGTATAAAACTTCAGGTGTCTCCAAACTATCAAGCTGCATGACTTGACTTCATAGTTTAACTTAAAGATCATGGAGCCAAAACAGTGATTTTCTCTCTGCCCTGCTGTAATGGCATACCTCTACCGTTCCTTGTAGTAATGATTAAGTAGAGGTGGAGAAAGCTCTTGTGAGCAACACTAAAGGTATGTAGGCCGTGGCTGGGCAACCACAGCACAGTAAATCCTTTCCTCCGCATTCTCCCAGGGGAGAGTTTTCAGAAACCGAGTTGGTGTGTGTCAACTTGCCATAAGATCAATGCTTTCGTGATCTCTCATTTTGATTTTGCAAATGTTTTCAATCATATTCTCGAAAGGTTTGCCTCTGGCTGCCGTCCATCCACGAAAAGTAGGGTTTTAATGTAATGAAAACTTGATAAACGAGTAACATGTCCAGTGTTACTCTGTCTTTAAAGCAAAAGGTTTTCTGTCTTTAAAGCAAAAGGCTCCAGTTTTAGGAGGGAGGATTGTTTGATGAAAGAATATTACAGCTTACAGATGAAGTAATGTCAACCAGATATGGTTGGATATACTATTTATGTTTCTGTACATTAATCATCTAACCTTTCTTAATAGACTCAATGTTTAAGACTTTATAAACAGGCCCCTAAACATTTGTCTGTATTTTATACCACATTAAAAGGATAGTTCACCAAAAAATGAAAATTCTGTCATCATTTACTCACTCTCCTGTTGTTCCAAACTTTAATGACTTTCTTTCTTCAGCAGAACACACACAGAAATTCATACTGTACATGTTAAGGACGAGTAGATGATGAAAGAAATTTTTCCTTTAAGAGTGTTAATGTCTTTATAGAGCTGTTTTTTTTAGATGGTGTGTTTTTCTTTCTTCATCTCTTGAGACATCTGCTTAAGTCAACAGAAAGAAAGATCATTCAAGAGTATCTCCAACTTTACGCCCCACACTTTTTCCCCATTAGAAGATGATGTAAATATCCCTGTTATGGAAAGATGTATTAGATTCATACTCAGTGTCTTTGTCTCTCTCCATATCAAAGATCTGAGGTGCAGCTGGGTACAATCCTGAGGGAAATCAGTTTGTTCCGTGTGCCGTCTTCCACTGTAATGGAGTGCGTTTTTTAGCCCGCAGTTGTGTCTAGAACAAACTCATCATGCTCTCCACTGAACCTTCCATGACAAAGACTATAAATACTGTCTGTTAGCTGCCATTCTACTTTTATCTCTGTTTATCCTTTTGTGTTTTGCTTGGTAAATCAGTGTGTTTTTTCGTTTCAGCCTGTCTATCTGTTTGTGTGAAAAAAAGGGGAAGAAGAAAAGTGAGACTTTGTTAAAAAGAAACTGGAACCAATTACGCACAATGCTAAGCGTGTCTACTGTGGATATTGCTGGCGTATCCACGCTTGTATATACAACCCCTCAACCTCAGCCATTCTCAAGGTCCAGTCCCACATGGCAGCCCACACTGTTTTGTCAGCTCATTCTGCATCCTATTGTGTGACATGGAGTATGGAAACTCTTTTGGTGCGTGTTAAACAGTGTTGGTTTGCAGTTTGTTTGCCTTGAGTGCTTATATGCTCTGTGAAATCCAGTAAAGTCAAATGGCTTTCCCAGAATCTGCACTTTATGAGCCCCTGTCCCCATCCTCTTCAAATTAGAATGCATTCACCAAACTATTGAGTCACTCCAACTTTGCCTGTGAGCAGCCCAATGCCCTCTCCAAACTTTCCCCCTTTACTCTTAAATGTAGTACAGATATTTTCTCAGTGCACAGCTGCCTTGTACGTACCATGACCCTCTTGATGAATCAACCCAGAGCTGGCAAACGCGGACCTGCTCTCTTGACTTTGCGCTGACGTATCTGGCTCCGTGTTTGACCACCACCCGGCCTTCATCATCCTCCAACCAATGTGGTACTGAGGAAACAATGGACAAAAGCGAACGAAATAGTTTCCAAATGAAAACAATTCCCACTGGAGATAGACGAGACTATTAATACATTTAATATGTAATCTCAATAATGCACCTTCTTCATATGAAACAGCTTGGCTATACAGTCTGAACATGTGTGGACTACAGTGATGTATCCTGGAACAAGAAGATCTTGATAAGTTGAGCCCACTGATTTCTTTACAACTGGCTTCATCAACTAAACAACGGTTTCTGTTCTAGCAAACCAGGGTGCTAATTTAGGATGGAATTGGGGGGTCTGTTGCCAATAATTAAGGCTTGAACCCCCTGAAGTAAGTTAAAACAAAAGGGTGGGGAACTCTTAAAAGTCCATTTTTACATATAAGTATATATACATGTTTCAACAGCGTTTCAGTAATCACAAAAGTTAGATTACAAGTTACTCAAAGTGTGTGATTTCGTTTCACGCTAAATAGATGCTCAGAGAGAGAAGTCCTTTGTCTAAGGATCAAACCACAGAAACGTTACGCCCCTCTAGCGCTTTTAACTAAGATCCATATTGGACGTTACATAGACAAAATATTATTTATTACTGTTTTGTAGATTTACATATTACAACTTTTGAACAAAAGTCAATTCGCTAACAGCAGACTGCTATATTCAAAATATGTTTAGTTAACTGCTATTTCAAAGCCTTTTACAGCACTCTGGGACTCTTTAGGACTGTGTTAGGACTTTCTTTTAACAGCCTAAGTTTTTTAGTATTTATTGTGTTGTTGTAATTTCAAGTTTTCACTAACTGCTAACTGCTATATTAAAAGTCTTTTTGCTAACCGTTAACAGCTATCTTAAATGTCTTATTAAAATGTCTTTTTGTTAACTGCTAACTTTTTTTTTTTTATCAAAAAGTCTTCACTAATTGCTAACTGATATTTAA